TACTGCGACGGCCAAGGTGAGCACTAGCTTTCTTCGATTAAAGTCGATGGTTAGAGGTGGAAATTACTTTTCGTCACTACACAAGATAAGGTGCATTCGGAGCAAAACGCTTTGTACGGTCTACACCTAGTGATTTATGCTCCATGCTTGAGGTTCGTTTTCAATTTTCTAGCTGATTTTCTTTTATGATATTCTTTCTCAACTGAATGTACTGCATGAAGACACCCTGATAAACGAGCGAATAATATCCAAACCAACTTACTATGCCAGTGAGTGTATTTCGTGAGTTGCGTATAGTCCAGTGTTTAAGTAGAGCTTAATGTCGACAGAATCTCGGGAACTGTGCCTACTTAATGAGCTACAGAAAGAGCGAAACCGATCATGAACTGTGTAAGACTTTTCGTCTTCTCCGGCAACAGGAATTGCTAGGTTTTTTAATCAATGAAACCTGGCTGTTTGGCATACCACATTGCTGTGGTTTTCGAGGAAAGTTAATTTCATTTTTATTTTAATGACAGTCAAACATCTTCCAAGCAATTTGAGTTATCTGTGCACGGTACGCGCCGTGACTTATAGCATTTGGCATGTTTCCTGAGGGTCACTATTTTTCATCTCAACGCTAAACGGAAATCTTTGATAGTCATGCTCAAGCGATTTCGATTGTTCGTTTGTTCACCACTGTGGTAAACCAGTCAGATGGAATAAGCTGATAAAATTACCACCACACGAGAATACATTCGTTCCAGTGGGTGTTGAATTAGCAGTTGCTTGTTTCCCTCGGGTTGAAATGTGCTTAAAATATCCTCATTGTGATCTGCAAATATATCTTTGATGAGCTTCATCTGTAGCAGACGGCTTAATTCATTAAAAAACGGTCACATTGGGACGCACTGGTCACGGGCAGTGTGGACGTTTCCTGTATTAACAACATTCACACGTAATTCATTATGGACATAGCTGGTATGAAAATAGGAACCAAGAGAGAACACAGTATCAGCCAACTCGAAGGGGACACGCACCTACGCTGATGTACAAGGCCAGTGACAAATTTGTCCTGACCTTCTCAATAACCCTGAGTGTCTTGGTGAAGCTGGTGCGTTCGGAATTCTCCAACGTACCGCTCTCGTTCGTCTATTCTCGTCCTCGGTGAACAAAGTTGTGGCAGCTGGAACCACTGCATTACGACGCACGGTTTGTGAACTAAAGAATGAACTAAGTTGGGTTGTGATCAGGCTGGCTCAAAGTCCTATCTACTGGTTTCACGGAAATGTAGAAGCCTGATGAATAGATGCGTCACTCATGTGCCTCATTCGTCTGCACAGAAAAGTGTCCTGTATGTTAGTCCTGTTTCGATTTAATAGCTCGTAAAGTATGCAGTAGTTGTACATTGTACGTTCTTGAACCTTGTCTACGCTGTCGGTCGTATATCAGTTGGGTGCGCGAAGCCACAGGTGGATGTGAGGCGTGCTACTGTTTTTTGTTTTTCTTTATTCGGTTAGATGATGGTCTCTTTCGTTCGTTGGAAGTATTCGTCCAAATCGTATTTACATTCCACTACAGACAGCACATCAGCACTAAATACAGGTGGCGCAATCACTAATAGAGAAATAACCGCCAATAGCATGCAGTCTTTTGTCGTTGGTACAAAGTATCAACACGGCATTTATGCTGCTTGCTGCTTTATCTTTCTCTGGTCTTCCACTTACTGCTGTTCGCTGGAGCGCTACTTTAAGTCCAAAAACCTCATTGGGGTCGGTATTCTCCATTTGAAAACCGATGACCAGCAACAAGGTAGCATCAGTTACTGTTGCCTTAGTAAAGGGTAGAAAGGAAGGGATTGTCTGTGAAGAAAAACCGCACGTTCCCGGTGAAACCAGTCCAGATGTTCGAAGTTCTCGTATGAAATTAACTTAAACACCTGATATTTTATAGTACTCAGGCGTCGTCAGCAAGACTAACGCAATGCCCATGCGAGGTCGCTCAACAAAAACCCGACACACTACCGACAAAGTCCAACTAGGTGTTCCGGTTGAGAAGTGACTGCATTCTCACGACCGGTCGCGTACTATTTTCTACAGGACTTCAACGAAAGAGGCACGATAATCCACCAGCCCCGACATTACCCGCTTTCGTCTCTTGTAGCCTCTCCGCTTCAGCAACGAATTTGGAATGCATGGCGAAACTTTTTCGGTAGTTACAGCCTCCTAACAATCTCGATCTGACAAGCGAGATGACTGAATGATTAGAGCCTGAATTTACTGACCGGAATGTCTGTTGTTCGAACCCAACCCCTGCCTCTCGACTTTCCCTATCTAAGCTTGGGTAGCCTGGCAGTATCCCAGCCCTCGTGCTTCCTTTTGGTGGCATGACAGTTAGGCATCGAAAGTGTACTACAGTTGAACGATTTTTTGGACAATCTGACAGGCTTCGTCTGCCATCCAGTTAATCACCTGCTGATCACTTCAGTATAGGTATGCTGCAACCAATTAATGCCTTACATATCACGAAAGCATTGGTTATCAAAGAATGGAAGGAGTTTGAGGTTTTCGGGTCCCAGTTATGATTTCCTCTTTATCAGTTATAAACTAGCCGTAAAGCGCATCAAGCTGCTACAATTTCATTAACCGAGTGTGGGGAAATGGCAGTGAATAGACACTAGTCTATCAAGCTCATCAGCTTGAGCGTACGACTGTTCAGGCGCCGGAAGTTTCGTTGTTTGAACCCAACCTCTGCATCTCGACTACTCCTGTCTAGGCTTGGCAGTCTGGTATTATCTCAGCCTTTACCTTTCTTTCGAATGGCACGGCAGCTGAGCACCGAACGGGTATTACAGGTGAACGGTCACTAGTTTATTTTCTCGTCAGCTTCTTGGGGTTCAGTTTTTTCCAGTTATTCATTGAAAGCGATAGATCCAGCTGCGTAATTAGCTCTGCCAGTCCGTGCCACTAAGAATTTGTGTCGTCCCCAGGAGCTTCCATCCGGCGATTTCCGACGCGAATTTGCGGTCAAGACTTCCATACCACATTGCCAAGGTATAGACTGCGCACCGTGGATGCTTTCTGTTCGTGACGCGGCTGTGCAAAAGACAGACAACTGTGTGACAACCAAACCAGTCTAACTTGGAGCGCTGGAAACTCATCAATCAGAATCGTCATCAGAATTGCTAAGCCGATGTTTCCACAAAACGGGAGAAGTGCCTCAGTGAAACCGCTTGTCAAACACAGGCAATGGATCAGCTTTCTGATTCCTAAAGCAGTTCAACTCACACTTCGCTGCTGACGAACAGGCGAATGTTGCGACAGTGCCACAGGTTTCGGAAGTTGAGAAACCGCTTCGGTCCTCCTAATTCGGGAATTGATTTCTTTTCCCGTCACAAGTTAGCATAAAATTGGTACTAACTGACCCAAGTGTTGCATGTTCACCGAAATGCAATAGTCATCCATCGTACACGGTGTAGGTCGTGGTGAACGAAGTGTCAGTTTGTGCCTTTCTTTTAATGAAGCATCGTGATTGTTTCAAACGTCGTGATGGTGTGTGCATTCGGAGTGTGTGCACCGACCCTACATGCTGCAGATTACCATGATATGATTTAACGAACCAATGGTATTGTTGCTTTTTGAAGACATGTAAACGGTTTCTCACCACTCACGTTTGAAGGTTGGAAAACGTGTACAGTGGGATCACACACGAGCCCTGACTCAAACATCTCTTGTCAGTCCAGTCGGCATAATCGTAGTGAAGTTGTCCCAACTTTTACTTTGATATCAACGTTCATTGAAGTTACATGTGATCTTTATAAAGATTTGGTATTGCAAGTATCGTGAAGAATAGTCATAATGTTAACACGCTACCTTGGGCGTACTAGTGTATTATTATGAAAATTATCAATTGCTCGGTCGCCAGGTTTTCTCCCAAAAGAACACCTTTCCAAGTGGGTGGTTTTTGTTGGGAAAACTATCATACGTATCGCTGTCATTTAACTTGAGCTTTCTATGGTATGACTTTGTTTCTTTGCTTCTTAGGCCCTTGCTGATGAGCTCCACATGCCTTTCTTGGAGACAAGTGCCAAGGACGCGACCAATGTCGAGCAAGCATTTTTCAAGATGGCTCAACAGATTGCGGCCAACGCCACCTCGATGCCAGGAATGCAATCGGCCACGGTAACGGTCAACAATGCACAACCAGTTAGACCGAGTGGCGGGTGCTGTTAATTCATTCAAACCCTATCCACACTGCCAATCTGTTTCCATTATTTCCTTGTTTCCGTAACGGTATGCTCTCTGATTGTGTGCGCACCAAGTTACAAAATCGGTTTCTCATCTTTATCTCGAACTTGTGATATTATTTTGTACTTCAAGTTTCGGTGACTCTGCCTTTCTCATGTTATGTCGCCTAAACACCCATACACAATAGGCAGAATAGTATCATTGGTCCCTCGACACACTGGCTTTTCTGTAACGATCCGAGTGTTTGCCATCCGTCCCGGCTCCGCAAATATTCCTCTCTGGAGCTTTGCTTACGGTGTTTGATTGGTGACACCGTAGCAAAGTTCGTTCCGATTGTTTGTTGGATCTCACTTTAGGATTCGTCACTCACATCACCATCACTCTCTAATTCTCTGTCAGATCTTTTCTCTGCCCGGAATCAAAACTACAACCGAAGGTCAGAACGCTTCATGTACCATATCTGTATGTTGGAATCCTTGATAAACACCAGCCACGAATACAAGCGCTGATTTTACCTCGTTTTTTTCTCGAATTTTTAACGGGTCTGCAGCCTTTTGTTTATATCGGACTTTCTTATACTTTTTAAGTCATAATTTGAACCCGACCAACTTTTCTTTTCAATCAAATGGTGTTGGATATTTTTATCCTATAGACAGTAAAACCGTATTTCACGACGAAAATGCAGGATCATTGATCATTTTTAGGACTGTATATACATTCGTTTCTGAGCCGGTATAGTTCGTGGCGTTGTGTGAGCTAACTCATGTTTCCATAGGCAAAGAGTAATCTATTCTTTCTTCCGAATGTCCCACATTTCCTCTCTGGTCATAACAATAGGTACTTTTGCGTGTCTCGATGTGGACGTTGCTAACTCGCTCACTCCGTAATTCCAGGTTTTCACTTGTATTGGGTCTTTCAGTTTTCCCTAACACACGGAGGACAGACCAAGACGTGGCAGCGCCACACTACAACGGCGACCGTCAGGCTTAGCGCTGTGCGATTTGTGTGATTCTCCGTGGTTGAAAATCCTATCCTACTGGTGAGCCCGCTGACACTTGGTAGGCGGACTGCCTAGCCTGAGTCTGTTGTTGCGTGCTGAGCTTCTGTTGTGGGATATTCGCAAATGGTATGATTGATGTGATTCGCAGATGGTGTCATCCAGTATGGTGCTCAGATGTCCCCATTTCAAAGGTTTTCGGAAGATATACGCTTCTCAATGGCTTCCTACCCCCCCTATTCAAAACCTTCCAAAGACTTCTCCGTAGTTTTATCTCACGTGCCCGGACATTCGCTCAGCTTTTTCGCTGAAACGGATGAAATAGCTTTTGCTACATCTGATTTGGGATGCCGTTCTTGCCTGATTCCCCATGTTTGGGCTGCATCCGGGCTTGGTTAGTGGGATTGAAGAACTTCTGTGGTACGAACAAACCGCGTTGTCCAAAAGACCATCAAAAATTGACACCGAAATGCTCCAAGTATCTGAACTGCATTACCTAATTTTATATGCGCGTGTCATCAGTGCACTAAATGCCATTTTCTCCTTTCCCGAAAAGTGTCCAGTGCAGCAACACTGGACCTTCCCAGGCTTATTATGTCCATCGTCATCGACAGTATGATATAAGTATTCCACCCTGACGGATCGCTACCGCACAATTATCATTTATTTGGAAGCTTTGTGAAGAAATGAATAAAAGTAGACGGGGAAGCGACTTAGTGCTAGCTTCTGGTGCCAGACACATTCTTCAATGGAAGGTACGGTTGCACAACCGTAAAGTTGCTTTATAATTGCCTCGGTACAGATTCACGGACACCAACTTACGCGAGCTATCGTTCTGAGATAACGATTATCGAACACCTGAAGACCTCTCAGTTCCGGTACTCGAACAGGCCAAGTCTCACACCCATACAACAAAACAGCCTGCACTGTAGCTTGATACAGTTGTCCCTAGAGATTCAGGGATACACCACTTTGACGCCATAGGTGTCTCATTAGCAAACGCGACTCGGGCATTGCAGATTCCTGTCGCACTACAATCAGAACTAATGCAACTTACAAAATACGTAAGAGGCCCCACAACTTCCATTGGCTCTCCCTGCATTGTACGTGGCGTTTTCAGTGACTGTATGCCCAGGAGCATGCATTTTGTGGGTGCAAAGTGCATACCAAAGGACGGGATGACTGGTCAGTTAATCCTGCGCCTTCTCCTCTTTGAAGATGAGAACGATGTCGTTTGCTCATTCCAGGTCGACAAGGTTTTCGTCTAAGGCTATTTGAACGTTGGGCCTTTCAGCGTTCATCTCATGATTTCATTGATCACGAAGTTACAGAAATGGGTAGAGTGAGCATCCCTGACGGACGTCACTTTGTGTACGGAAGCTTTTGGAGAGCTCTCCGTGTACCCTCACGTCCAGAAGCCTGGGAATACAAAGAGTTTATTGTGTTCACGAACTTCCGGGGCACTCCTTGGCGTGTGAAACAGAACAGACCGATCAACCGAGTCGAATTTGCATTGGAGATCCCTGAACACTAGAATTGTGGGTAGCTTATACGTATGCCTTTGTTCTAGCACCTGACGGAGTGAAGATTTGGTTAACGTTCCCAGTACCAAACCGGAATCCTGCTTGCTGCTTGGGGTATTTCAGAATCCACCCTAAGGCGACCAAGCACATGTGACACTGGGGTCAAGCGACTCCCATGTGGTTACCACACTCACTATTACTGGCTCTCCCCGGTTGTCTCGGAGTTGTCTGTCTGCTTTTCCTAAATGCAGGCAAACAGATCAGACAAGCGCTGACACTGAGGACTTCAACCCGATTTCTGAAGAATGCAGATGGGAATTTATCCGGACCAGAAGCTCGGTGGCGCTTAAGAGGAATATATGCAGGCATAAACCTCCGACGCGGTAGGTGGTTCCACTTTCACCGTCCACATAGCTGTGGGTTCCAGATGAATGGTAACTGTTTCCACGATATCTATGGTTCGAGGTATTCGACCCAACAGTCGAAATGTTCTTTATTGTATTACTGGCTTTCTGTGTCTACCAGACTTCGCGGTTGGTTCGCACACTTGCCTTCACTTGACATCTGATAATTCGTCACCTCAGGTTATGTTTGGGATCGGCTAAGATTTAAGCAGTTCGGTCTACTTGAGTGATCCTGTTAGCGCCATGCCCCAATCGAAACTCCCAGCACTGTACAGAGGTGGCGGTCTCATCGCAGTATGAATTCACATTTGGTATTGGAAAATTTGGAAGAGGTGCATGATGATTATGGTAAATTTGTCTGGCATCTGTATATTCCGGTTATAAGGCGATGTTCCGTATCTTTCGCGGTCCTGGGAAAACGAAGGAAAAAGCGACTCTGGACAAGTGCGTGTTCCATCAGTGTGTTCCAAGGCGACTGGCGGTCATTGATCCATGCCATCGGTCACTGGTGGTAGCGATCGATCTGAGTTCGTGACCGGCACGCCGTTGGAGAAAACCACGTGGCCATACGTCTTCGGCTGTTCCGGAAGTCAGTATTGCTTAAAAACAACCTGTGGTCAGCATGCAGCTGAAGCAATCGTCCACCATTGTCTTTACGTATCGAGTCCAATCCATCTCGACCACTTAGTATGGTGTTAGATGGGCTAAGTCTGCCGTTTTGTGCATTCAGATATCCGGCAACCACAACGATATCTCTGAGCTTTTAGCTCGCGACAGCTGGGGCATTCGGTGCGTCATAAAATATGTCTTTGGTGGTGTCTGTGGTACAGTCAGTTGGGGCGACAACCAAATTGCCCCTTGTGAGACTCCTTCACAGACGCTGCCAGACGAGCCGCATGGAGGCGACTATCAACAGGTACCCAGTCAAGCAAGGATCCTTCCACTCGGTAACTTAGGACGGTACTAACCCCTGCACATCATGCCACAGGAACCTCTGGATCGAGGTGCGCAGCCGGAGGAGAGTGGGAAGTGATGGTGCGGTTAGCTAAACCACCATTTGAATCTTGAGTTCTTGTTTCTGAGACAACACACCAATACCAAGCGAGGCATTGTGAGAAGCTTGTTGACCTGCTTGCTTCTGAGTGTGGACATGGAATGCGGCCCGATAGACTGGGCGTCTGAGCTTGAAAATTGATTTTGGGATGCCTAAGAGTGTCGGCGCCGTATGACGCGATGTTGCTTACAGAACCGATGCAGGACGAAAGGAGTCATCGCTCTTAACTACAAAGATACGGTTATTAATTAAGTGGAAGAAAAAGTATGTGAAGAAGAGAAAAGGGGCGTCAGCAGTAGCCTGTTCCCGCTTACTCGCCCTGTTGTATGCAGCAAACAATTTTTTACTCTCTCACTGGGTTCATAGGCAAGCACTAAGCACATGCAGTATTGCAGCAGCACTCCACATGCCAAACCATGAAGCAGAATTATGTACATTATTTAATATCGCACACATTACGATGGCGTCGCACTCGATATATATATATGGACGAACGCCCTGTGATTATTTCTACCTCACAGGCATCAAAGGCTATGAATGAGTCCTTCATGGTCTTGTCGATAACGAAGTTGAAGTGAGCAGAAGAACCGCTTAGTTTGCTGGCCTCAAAGTGGAGCCTCCTGTGAAACTTCGCCCGCCCGCGGAAGTTGGCGTAAATGCTCTAAGAAGGGACAGTTGTTTATGCGGGACACCCTTACAAATTGCCTGACAGTTCACAACGTCAGAAGCATCTTCACGTCAAGACAGACCAGCATAGTTGATTACTTGATGCAGTTTTGCTGTTAAGACGCTTTAGTGTGTGTGTGTGTGTGTGTGTGTGTGTGGATGTTTCAGAATCACAGTGTACACCAATCTTGAGGGATTATGATGTTTGGACGAGCATTGGTTGTTTGCCCATTCGACATGGACACTGAAAGCGGAAAGGGTCCCATGGAATTAGCAAAGCGTAACTTCGTCTATTGTTGATCAGCAATGAGGTACATCGGTCAGAGAATCGTCAATCAAGTGACCCAGGAACGTTTACTTGTAAGGTGGGAAGGGATTGGGGAACGACATCAGTGGACAAAGAACTGCGTGTAAGTGATACTTTCCAGTTACCCAGATCGAAGAATATTGTTTATTTGGCGTTCCCCGCCTTTGGCTTTGCATCTCATTGCGGCTAGATGATGTTGGTTTTCGTTCTGGGACTGTTCAATAGCGTTGACTCAGAGGCCTGAACGTCGAGGCAGCGCGCAGTAGAGTTTTCTTCGGGGAACCTACTCGGATCGCACGACTTGTTTTTATGACCTGTTCGGTTGCAATGGATTCGTCACAGCGACTGAGATGTAGGTCTATCACTCCTATGTGGTGCCGCTTTAAGTAGTTGCGTTTATAACCTTATCGAGCTGACGGCATTGTAGTCGTTTTTTTGCCCTATTGAATTGCTCGCAGGTTGTCACGGCGATCCGTGTGTATCGTGTTTAGGGCTGACATTTCCTAACCTTTCTGGAAATCTGCATCGCTTTCCCATGAATAAGGACACGCTGGTTGCCTGTGTGAAGCACGTTATTGCCCTCACACCTCCATTCTAGAGGGCAATAGAACTTTACTTCCAAAGCGACTCGTAATGCGGCATTTCTTAGTATAGGATCGCGCTTTTCATCGCCTCCCTCGGATTGCTGCTGTTCGCGGAACGATGATTTGGGCAGTATAACCCGCGGGATCATTGCACCGCTCAAACCCGACCACCAAGTCCAGGTGGCAACCTTAGGTGATCGGTTTCTCCAGTGGTGCTTGTGCCTCCATGTCTTGAAGGTTCTCTCTCGGAGAGGTGTAAACAAGGTTTTGAAGATCTCATTTCCGAATCCGTCGTAGTTTTCAAGTTCACTGAACAGGGCTGCCTTGCGAGTCTGAAATCCGGTCGAGTAACTGCAGGTGGTCATTTTATTGTTCAAATTGTTCAGCCCAGCGCTCTTGCTTTTTACAAATGGGTGGGGCGTTTCGGTCAATAATTTTTCCGCCCACCACATGTCTGGGCGTGTTGCGCGCATCAGTTTTTCAATTTCAGCTTTCTGTAACCACTAAGTCTCTAGCTCCGCGGAGATGCCGTTTTTCACGTGACATTTGTCAGTTCGTCGTGTCCGAGCTTAGCGCAGTTTAGAATATTGTTCAAGACCCAGTGCTTAGATGCAGTTGGTTGCGCTTTTCTGCAAGCGGGACTTCCAACATCTTGCAGGGTTGTGGACAGGAACTTTCAGTAAGAGTCTATATCAGCTGTCTTTTCCGAAAAGGAACTTAGTACGTAAGTAAGTAAGTAAGTATTTTCAAGTAGGGCTGTCTGTTTATCCCGTGTTCAGCTTAAAGTACTCTTATGCTTCATGTATTCCCTTTCCGTAATATGTAACTTAAAAACTGCCCCGCCGCCTTAACTTGGCCTGTCTTGTCTCTCAGCACTACCGTCAATAGTATCATCCGAACCGGCGTATTCTGTCCTCCCCTTTGTTGCACGTTCATTTGACTCGCTTTGCCTTCCTACCATTTCTGCCAGTTTTCCACTCCCGGATTCACGACTCAGTTATTTTTTTTCAATGGACAGTACATTTTGGAACACAATGTTTTCTCCAGTACATGTAACGTACTCTTCCGAAGTCCAGTTTGCATTAAGTTCAAAACAAACTGAGTTGCTTTTCCCCACATTTGTTTTGTTTTCTTCCTGTTATTACGGGGATTCTGTGGTTGCGGTTCTCCCCTTCCACCGTAATTTACCCACTCATAATAAAAAGTATCATTCAGTTGTGACGCCCTTTCGGCGCCTACCTGCCATGCCACCCGAAGGAAGCACGAGGGTTGCCCAAGCCTAGGGGAAGTCGAGAGGCGGAGCTCGGGTTCGAACCACGGACCCCCCGGTCAGTAAATTCACGCTCTAATCACGGAGCCATCTCGTTCCAATAAAAAGTGTGGGACGGGGACGAAGGAACGTCATTCAAAATGCCATCTAGGTGCCCTCTGTATGACGAAATGAAGTCTATATATAGCCTTTGGTGCGTCAGGGACGTTTGAGTGCATGTATGATGAAGCAGTCCCGTAGTTTTGTTGCGTTCAATCCCACTTTGAGGTCTTTACACCAGTTGCTCCAAGTGCTCCTATGACTTCTGGTATGTTTTCCGATGGGACTTATTATTCGTCCGGGATCGAATTTCTGGTGAAAACTATATGGGTGGTCCCATAGGTTTGCTCCTTAAAAATGGTCACCAAACTATTTCATACACTAGGCGTATTTAGTTGGTTCATCTGTTTCCGCTCTGGCAGACACTGTTTCTTCAGATACGGGCTAAGCTTCGTATGTCCTAGGTTGCCTATTGAATTCTGTCACCAAACACTCGTCGAATGTGCTGGGTAATCCGGCGTCATTTTAACTTTCGTTTCGTCATCTGTCGAGAGTCTGTGTTGTTTGGGAGGCATACGTTTTGTTAGTGTAACTTAAGCATACAACCTGCAGTTCGCAAATACTTGTTAGGCCTAATAACGTGCCCGTGATTGCTTTGGCTTTGTGCCATACGCCTGGCATTTTTAACAATTTAGCGATGATTAGTGCAGAGATCTGTCCTCAATAACTGATCTGGAAATCTCCGCGTAATCTTCGCATAACAACCTCTGGCCCAGTAGTCCATACTTGATTCCTCTTGACTGTAGTAAGCTCCTGCAAACAGCTTCCCGAATCGGTCTGCATGTATGAAGAGGCTCGCGTGGTCCCATTGACAAACACTGTAGACTTTATGTTCCTAATCGTTTTGCGTCCACTTTGGCTGTGCTAACCCGTGTTTGTAGCGGGCAGTGTTGTTGTCACCGGGGTGGTAGTGCTCTATATTCTACTTGACTCATGACTCAGTCATTTGCATTATTGCGTTAACTGAATCATGGTGATTTTCTGTGTATGAAATGGTATGGCAAACCTGCCTGCACGTTCATGGTCGGGACTTTTCACAGAATTCCGGTATTCATGATTTTTTTGTTAATTAGCGCAAATTCCAAACAAAAAGTAGGGCTTGCTATTTGTCAGCACCTCAGTGTTATACTTTCTTCTCAGTATCTCGAACCCCGTTTTTACTTTGCCATATTTGATGTTAAAGGCTGGTTGCGTACTTGGTATGGAATGTCTGCTTCATTTCTTCACGATTTAGTGTACAATTAAGTTTTCTGTTTCAGATTAATTTGCGGTCCTTTACGGATCAAGTCATATCATATCTTGTGCTGTGCAAACGGCTGTGTTTGCGCATCCTTGTGCGGAACTGTGCGCTGGACGTTGGATCTGAACGTTTCACCGTGCGTGCCGGATCATTTAAGATGATCCGGCTTTACCCACGTTGGCATACGGGATTTTCCGTTGTTAAGAGTCTTTTCAGGACCGTGTTCACTGCCCTAACTGCGACTGTACCGAAAACGACGCTTGTCGCGACTGAATTTTATCGACAGCCCTTGCCAAGAACATGTGTTGCGTTTGCCTCAGACCAAGGGAAGCGTATCTTTCGGGAAGCATTATCAGCAGGACACATGGAGGCCTACTTCCCACTGGCTGAACAACTCTGCACACAGGTGAGTTCCCTGGACTGACCGGCTCATCGACATTAAACGGAATATACTTGTAGCGATTCCATTCGATTCGGAAATCGGTTTGAACTCTTACTGACTGACTGTTTAGCACCCAAAAAACAACTTGCTGCAATGGTTGTCTAATGCTGGGGTAAAACTAACACTACATGCTGCGTCATTAGTGTTGTACCATTACAGGTGACAGGAAATAGGTGTCTTACCGGGATCAATGACAAAGCAGTGATAAGTTACGCAATGCATAAATTTTGCGAACCGAAACAAGGCATAGTTTTGTCTGGTAGTGCTGTCGACTTCTGCGTTTTCCTAATTTTGCCTTCACTTCTGATTCTGGCTATCCGGTGGCATGACATTAGGGTTTGAGTCTCTGCTAACCTGCTGACATAACTGCAAACTGTTCAGTAAATACACAGTCTTACAGGTGGTTAATAGTAGATACACAGTCAGGACGCAGTCCATTTCCGATCAGGACTTGTCAGCGAAATTCTACACAGCTAGGAAGACAAAATGCCCCGAAACTATCGTGAAGCTTACTTTCGACTGAGCGTCACACCCCCTGTCGGATTGGCTACCTGAGGACCATTCGCGACTGTTACTTCATATGACTGAAGAAACTCGTTCAATTGTAGCTTAACTGCCATGCCACCAGAAAGAAGCACAAGGGCTGGGATACTGCCAGGTTGCCTAAGCATAAACAAGGGAAGTCAGGAGGCGGAGGCGGAGACGGAGGTCGGGTTCGAACCACGGATCTTCCGACCATTAAATTTGCGTTCTTATCACTGAGCCATCTTCTCCTTATGACGGAGGGGGATATCTATCAATTATGCGTTACGTAGGTGATCTTAGGTTGACAACCATCGACCTACCAGCTGGGCGCTTGTTATACTGAGGATGTTTGTTACCGATGCTACGTTTTACCTTATAAGGCCATTCCCATCTGTGCGAATTGGCTCGGGGTTTATAGACGGAATGTTAGCACGAAACCATATCCGGTAGCTGGGCCCTACAGAAGTACCGTGAATCTTCCTACAGTATTTATGACAACGACGTGCCGTCCTCAGTCTGTCCTAGTGCGGTCTTTCAGCTATAGATACGGTTTCCCTGTCCGTGGTAGGCGGAGTTCGTCTGGCGGGCATGACTCCTTGTCCAACCCACAACACACTAGGTGTCTGTCCAGTGGCGGTGTACTGCGCTGAATCGAGAACATTGACTAGGCGTGTGATTTTAATCGTGATCCCACGTGACAGAGCAATCTTGGTGCAATTTGTTCTCTCCAGATGACCATTTTTCTGCAATGATAAGTCGTTCGAGTTCTGTCGATTTCAAGTTGCGGGTAGAATTCTTTTATCGGGACCCTTTCAAAATGTAACTGTCATCAGGCTGTCCAATGGGATATCTGGTTATCCGCAGTTCTGTGGAAGCATGTCTTCATCCCACCGACTTTACTTTACATTTCTTGGGCAGTTCCCCAGTATACTCGTTTTCCCTGTTTGCTCCCGGTACCGGTTATATCATAACTCTTCCCACAAATCCTCGCTGTCGTCGACTGTAGGCTGTGCTCTGATAGTCGTCCGAGAGTTCTCAAAATTATCACAAGGATTACAACTTCGCGCATATGGCCACCAGAATCGTTCCTGTACAACAAACTTCGATAACATCGTACCGCAACTTTCAAAATTCGTTTAGGTGCGTTTGCTTCACTTGCATCGATTTTCTGCCTAATGACAATTATGAACCTTGGATATAAGCTGGTCGTATTGTTCTGAGGTTGGTGAGTCCTCAACAGATGTGCTTCAGTGATAAGGTAGCTCGTGCGCCATAAGGAGATGAACCGGTTGCACCTTCTCAATTATACTGTGTTTTTAGCATGCAGTGAATATTGATTGGAATGTTACTATTGCACATTAGTCTAAATCGAGTCGGCCCTCAGTGGGTCTGGCCCAATTGCAGCGCTAGGGTTTAATGATGGTCCTTGGAAGCTGTTGTATCAGTAAGGCCGTGTCAATAGCTCTGATGTATAGCTAGAACGACCGACTGGTCACAGTCCTCCGGAGTCACCGTGCATTCTGTCCGGTCCATTTGCGTTGGTTTCCATAGTGTTGATGGGGTATCTCCATGCCACGTCAATGTCTTGTTAATGATCACTGTGTCCTAGAACGAGTTGAGTCGGTCCACTGGACTAGCTGCGTTTTGGTGGTTTAACAACAAACCAGCAGTGGAATGCAGTCGGGGTATTGATTCTTCGTCGTCTGACAAACCAAGAAATCGTTCCGACGGTTTTGCTGCCGATCATCATCTGCTTTAATTGGTCGCTACTTCAGTCGGTGCGTTTTCTGGACCCATTAAGTTTGGTCTCTAGGTAATTATTACTTATTATCATTATTCTTATTCTTATTCTTATTACTTTTTATTCGTGATTCATTTCACTATTGCATACAATGGAAGTCACTTGTCTTCTCCTAGTTCAGTTGTGTGAAACATTAAGGTTTCGTTCCATCCATGCTCTGGGGTGTGCGCCTGTTGTTTGCAGTACTACCGTCAATAATTCATGGAACCGCGAATTTCGGTGATCATCACCGTCGGCTGTAAACTGTACGCAAGTCGTTTTAGGGACCCTAGCAACCTTGTCATCCTCAACTTGCTTTAGTGCTTGTTTCTCTCGTCGTCTGACTTCTGAATGATACGATTGGCATATTCAGCCCTTGGGATGTTCTCCTGACCCCAAAACAATGGAGAAAGTTATCCACTCATTCCCTTAATCTATGCTGATATATCCGCTGATATACTGAAAAGGTAGGTGGATGAAACAAGTTGAAGGCTAAAGTACCGTCTTTTTGCTGTTGTGTACTACTTTGCGTTTTCTGAATTAGTTAAGAAAGGAAGCGGTTGCTCGCTTCTTGTCGACTGCCATCGCTTTAGAATTTAGTGAAATTATTGTTTTTGCCGAAAAGTCTGTTTTGGATTACGTTGGGAGAAATAGAAATGTAAAATCGGGTTGATGGTATTTGTTCTGTTTGGCTATGATTTACTAAGACATTTGCACGGTTCGAATGAGCCTGAGAGTCATTGTGTTGATCAGCTTTCCCACATCTTCATCATCTCATTCCCTCAAGTACGCAGGCACTGACTTGGTTCCGAAACATAACTAGATACGGATGGCAACTTGCTGTCACTTCATTCTATTCGCTAAGGGCACCTTATCGTTGCTCTCTGGTTTGCTATATCCGGACGTTGGTTTTAGTTCGGCCAGGAAGTTGTTCACCATTACCATGCCAGTTCAAATCAGCATAACCTGACTAGTCAAAGCATTGCTATTGTGTAAATGAAGGAGGGAAGCGATGAAGCCATTTGCTGCAGTGTACTGGAACCCATAGATACTGTTCTTTAGAGCAGAAATACAGCGTCGGTGAAATGAACGGCTAGACTATGCAGGCACTTTAGGACCACGTCGCCAGCACATGGGGGAGGGGGGCTCGAGTTGCTCTTACTATTGAATGACATCACAACGAGAAAAGGCACCCAATGATTTTGGCTAGTCTCGTCAGTGTCCCTTCAGAACATTAGTAATATCCTGGGGACTATTGTGACTTTGTGATTACTAGGTTGTGTCAGTTCAGGCTTGCCAGTACACACTAAACCTTTCGGCCTGCCAGTAAACGTGTCTGCTGATGGAGTCGAACAACGTAAGATTTTTAGGCGACCATTTGACATCATCGAATCAAAAGGTACGCACATACAGCCACCAACAGAGCTACGCCACCAGTAATGAAATGAAAATTGTAACTTTGTGTTCTGTTTTGGCAAATCTGTGTTTCTGCCCATTGTCTACCCAGTAGGTTATGAGGAATGCTTGTGTCTTCATTGAATATATGCGCAGTTCTTATTTCCACTGTTAACTTTTCCGTCTCATTCGTTCTCAGGCAGAACCTGCTTACTGCGGGCTTGCTACTTTGGTAATGGTTCTGAATGCTTTCGAAATGGATCCAGGTCGAATTTGGAAAGGCCCGTGGCGTTGGTATCATGAATCTATGTTGGATTGTTGCATCCCAAGCGATGTACTAAGTCAGGGAATTACTTTGGATAAATTTGTCGAAATCGCTCGCTGTCACGGTCTCGAAGTGAGTTCTGTGATTTTCTCACAACTGCGCTTCGTAAAAGTTAGTGCGTTTTTTCATTTTGTTTGGCGAATATTACCGGTGGGATCTTACTTTTCCCCGTGTCTCCTGATCTTGCTGATCGCTGAACACTGATGTCCCCTGCAAATCATTTAAAGTCTATCCATGCTTCACTTCTGCTCTCATTTCGTATTTAAGACCGCGGATAAGATTTCGGCCTACAGCCGTATTCAACAAGGACTCTGGAATCTTTCTTGATTAACAGAACCGAAATCAGTCGCGAAGTCTTTGGAAGGAACATTCTGAAGCTGGAAATATCCGTGTAGTTGAAGGTGCCGCACGGCGAATCCTAGATTCGTTTTTTTAGTACCAGTGATGGGAAGAGCGCTTTCGGGTGTGTTTATCGGGTTGTTTATCGACCAACACGAACTAAGCGATTACAAGCTGTTGAACACGAAAGTAAAAACCTCATTTGAGGAGCTTTTGAGAAGTCATCATACTCAAGCATCCTCTTGCGCTTTTCTGAACGTTATGTGAGTATTAAACAACAGTGAACAAACACTGCAAACCGCTTGAATAATTTCCGTACCAACTTTCTGTCCAGTACAAGAATGGTGCTTTGACACTTGACAAGACACTACTAGCTTGCTTCATCAGTAGCATACACCGTTACACCAGCACGAGCCATGTTTTTCTTCAGGGACATGTTCAATTACTTCGGCAGCCAAGCGGCTGAGCGGATGTCGCCCAAATAGCCTAACCCCACAGCTCTCCAAGCCAAGGAGGTAGCACGATCATCACATTTTTAATTTCTTGCTCTGTCGGTGCGTTCTCCAAAATTAGACCTGCATACTTGAGGTTTCCAAGTATGTCCACTTTCCGTAATTGTGTCTTTCTGGTTGTTGAAAGAAGGCTCAGTGGCCGTTGCGTTTTACTTTAAAGCAATCGATCCACTGCTGACTGTTTGGTACTCGTTGGTCTGTTCAGAAGCTGTTAGGGTGTTTGCGCCATATCTTTGCTGTTATTACAGTTGGTTTCTGCTTCGGTCGCGCCTTAGCGCTCTGGAGCGTTTGGATCGGCCTGATGCATGGCTTAGAAACGGCGAGAGAATCGCAAAGTTTTTTGTGCTTCCACCGAACAGTGAATTCTTCAGCTGATTCGTTTCATAGTTGTTGCGCCTAATTGTTGAACGAAACACCTTCAGGGATCCCTTATCTACCATTTTGCCCCGCTGCCCGTGGTGAAAAAAGCAGCAGGGGGTTTCCTGTTGCCTTGTTTCCTGATCATTTCCTCCATGCCAGCCATAGGTTCGGGAACGTAGACGTCCTATCTATCCGGCTGCCGTTGTCAGCTCTTGATGCCTCAGTTCTTTCAGGGGGCTTGAATAGTTTGCAATCTTTCATTCCCTGGTTATTTCAGCGTGGGGTCATGCCTCAGCTGTCATTGATCCCTGTACACCGAAGAGACGACTCAGATTCTAATTTACAAACCCACTGCCTGCACATCAGCCCGTTCGCATTCTGATACGGTTTTGGGTATCCGATGATGGACGGAGGTAATCTGTTAGAATAGACTGTCAGTCTTATGGCGGATGTCTTCGGCTTCCTTGGTGGAATACAAGCGTACAACGCTAGCTGGGTAGCAAAGTTAGGTGATGCATTCGGTAGACGGTGTGTGCGTTTATTTATATCGTCGTCCTGAGCTCTTCTCTCCATTTAATTTGGAGGTCACCTTAGAAGTAAGAGGTTCGAGGAATGAGCGTGCTTCACTCGTGGGTACTCTGCAACCAACCTGCACCTTGCTACAAAAGAGGATGCCTGATAAAAATGGAAGTTGTTAGCTAAAACGAAACAGGTAAACAAAGAAATGAATGAGCGGTACACACCCAAGCGGTTGAACACATGAGACTCTTGTAGGTTTTGTCTGTGGTACTTCCCTGGACGATAGCGATTCTAGTCGACCACGACAAACCGACGTTTAGCTACCACCACATCCAGTTCCGGAGCTTTCAAAGTTTGGGTTATAACAGATCGAGTAGCTCTTGGTTTACCGCTTGGTTGTTTTTATATGTCAGCCATTTGTTTCTCGACAAACGCCATCCTCGTTGGTCGAAACTCCGGACAGTTTCATTTACCACATCATTTTCATTACGAACCGTCAGCCCGAAGCCTCCACCTCTTTCTTTCGAACTCGGTTCTGGGGTTCAGGAGTGTACTGAATGATAGTGGGCGGAAAACAAGTTTATGTAACGGACAGAGGTTTTGTGATGTACATCACAGATTTACATGGCACCAAAAATTATGTCAACATGATTGTGAAAAATCAAGGGTACATACACTTAATGGAATAAAAAGGAAAATAATGTGAAAGTGGGTCACGTTCTGTCGGAATTGGATGACAGATATTTTGATAGCTCATTAATAAGCGAGCAGATGTACGTCATTCATCCGGTTGTAGGATTCACAGCTTGATTAGCTGCATGTTTGCATAAGGGAAGACTTCTACTCGTCTGAAATGACTACTGGCAAACAAGATATTTCGTCACTCCTATTTCTGTGACACATACATGGTAATGTATTCCTGATTAATTAGTTCGTCAATGCCCAATCAGATGTTCTCCGTTCACACTAGTCTAGTTTTTGGGAATTGTGACAATAATGTTATTCACTTCAAGATCATTTTGTCTTTCGGCAATTGTCGCCATACTCTCACGCTCTGGTGAGTCACCTGTCATTCATAGCGAGAAGGAGAAAAAATTTCGTTTTTCCCGGTTGACTGTTTCATTGATTGGGCAGTACAGCTTCACTCCACTTAGTTCACCTCGGAAACTCAGCTGTTTGATTCAAACAATGTGCTTGTTATTGCTCCTATGTCGAGTTGCTTGTGGCGCATATACTCAAGCCTAAACGCAACGGCTATCGTATGGTGGGATTTGTCCTATTGTACTGGTGCCGGATCGGGTATACCCAATGTCCATCTATCACATTAGTGCTTTACGAGTTGAGACTTATTTTTTGCTTTCTACGGTGTGATAACTCTTAATTTGCAATCCATTTCCCTTCAGCTATATATCGTTTGTTGATTTTATTTGTCCCGTCTTAGATCTGCTAGCACTTTTCGGTTCTGTTTTGTCTCGGTTTTTACCCAGGTCGATTTGCATCGCGTCCGGTCGTCAGATCAACTGTCCGCTTTCCGCGAGGTCGTGTCCACTATGACCTCAAGCGAGCATAAGGGTTATCTAGTCACATGCTTTGCCCGTGGCTCCTTGGGACAGACGGGCACAGGCCACTTTGCTGCTGTTGGAGGCTACCACCCACAAAGAGAGCTCGTCTTTCTGTTTGACACGGCGCGTTTTAAATACCCTTCTCACTGGGCACCAATCGCCCGCTTGTGGGAAGGGATGGCCCAGCTAGATTCCGTTACAAAACAACCCCGGGGATACATGATTATAACTAGATCTTCAGTCCTTGGACGACGGAACATTGCAGAACAAGCGGACTCCACCGTTGAGGACAGACTCTACCTTTTTGGAATTTCAGATAGCGCACGTCAGGTTCGTGTTCTGCACATCACCCCACCAAACTAAGTTTCAACTATCTTTTCGCTTTCTTGGCATATTTGCGTAATCCGAATGCGACATTCCGTGAACGATGTGATGGCTGTGGATACATTGTGTGAGCATTTAATCCTAATCGATTCATAATTGATTTGATCGCAAAGCGTAAGCGCGGGTTTTGTCTCTTAACTACTCCAGTCAGCTTTCTAGTAAGTTCATCCACAGTAGTCTTTGTTGTGGAGCTGTCATCGGGAGGGAGAACATACAATTTATTATGAAAGGAATGATAAACTTACTTTGTTTTCCCTCCGGTAATAGTTGCATATTTATATAGTCTTTCCTACCCATATGTCATTCGATAGAAGTGGTTCGGTCTGCTACACACACAAGGCTCTCTCTATTACGCACCAGTGAGGCATGGGATGAAACAGTTTCCATTACTTTGTAAACAAAGTTTCTCACTTGTATAAACAAACGCCGTGGAAGCCAGCTCAGTCACTGGTCAACACTAATTAACATGTGTCAACTTACATCATCCGCTTTAACTAATGACTTAGACGAAGTTCTGACGTAAGCTACAACAACAGCTGGAAATCGCTGTACACACTGCGTGTCTATTAGTTCGGATACTAGGATAGGGTTACAGTTTTCTGTTGCAAACGCGGGTAGGGTACGACTGCTATTACTCGTTAGTGTCACCAAACAAATTTTTTTGGATCCGAAGATCGGAGGGTGAACTTTCCCCGTCTGTGTTGAATTTGTTTATCTAAAAACGTACCAATCAAGGATAAGTTCCAATCGTTGGGTCAGACATTAATTTGGCGTTCCTCCACCGTTTTATACTAACCAGGGGTTCTCATCTTTCCTCCATTTCAGGCGTATCTGTCTCCCGCTGCACTGTGTGGGAGAAATAGTGTTGGCCGTCGATTGCGTGTAGTTGCGGATAGTTGGCTCCAGTGGATCCGCGATGAAGTCCCTGAAGAGCAAAGCCATCAGTCCGCAGTAATCGGAGCAGCAGCTAGGTTTATTTTGGATGCATGCCCTAAGCACTCGCTTTACAACTTCTTCTTGACAGTACAACCGTTCGTTGATGAGGAACAACAAGGACCGGTGCGTGATGCGCAACAGAAGGTAGTAAAAGATCTTCTCGCTTCCCAATTGGGTCAGATTGTGACTTCCATTGTTAACAGTTTGCCTAAAGACCAATTTGAGTGGCTAACCACTGTTGGGCCATTCCGATTAGCTACTGGTCGTTCCTATGCTTCCTCTACCAAAACCTATGTGAGATCCAGTCCTATTTGTCCCTTCGCTGAACTATCCGATCCTGGTTTGCGCTTGAGCTTGCTGCTTACATCGTTTATCTGTTCTTATCCATATGCTGAAATTTCGAAACTGACTAATGGTATCACAAAGAACACCCGAGTCCACTTACTAAGGGAAGTTTTTGAGTGTGCCAAATTCTCGGATGCTACTCTCACTGAACTCCAGGTCCTTCGGAATGTGTTGTGGTCCTTTATTTCCACGGGGTTGCAACAGACTGAAGCGCCTTCTCCATGTTGTAATACGATATAGCATTTACGCACGTGAGATTTGATCACATTGATTATGACTTACGTTTTATCCTCATCAGGGAAGCATATTTTTTCTCCGCTTTTGTCACAGCTTTTTCACTTGCAAGACGAGATTTTTCGTGTTCAGTTATTGATGAATATTTCTGAATATATTCCTTTTTTACGGCTCATCCTTTGGGTCTGCTGTTGGACTTCACTTTTGTCATATCATAATCTCCGCCGCCGAGTGTAGGCGGCTGTGAGTTGTGGGAAACTTCTTGGTTTTTGTTTTGTTTACTTGACACGGATCAATCTCATCCTTGGTGGCTGGTTAGGTGGCTGTTGATCTGTTCGCCAAGCGTGGCAAGCGCCAACCAGCACAAATATTTGCACGCAACCTTATCCCGTCCTTGGCAAAGGATTACATGTACAGCCCTCTTCACCGTCATCTTCAGCTCTAAAAACCTCGCATTTGTTGTACAGTGTTTATAGCTGCCACAGTTTCGTCCATCGATGATTTGGGGAAGTAGGGGTAAATAGCCACGCATTGGAGGTGGCAGCTGATATAATTGACGCATGGACACAGAATGCTAGTGAACCTACCTTTGGGAAGATCAGGAGGGGAAATTATGCATTGTAAGCATACGCGCAGCTGGGCCATGTCCGACAGTGTCCATAACCATTCAGGCGTCCCGTTTCTGGGTCCTCATCCAGGGAGACGACAATGACCAGCGCAACCGAGTTTGGCTTTCACACTCTTTGCTAAGCCCTTGCTTAACATACCCCGGTACGTTTCCACCCTTCACGTGGTGAGATAAAATTTCTCCTCGAGGAATTTGGTTGACTGGCATACGGAGCACATCACCAAGTCACCGCAACCTATGAACTGTGGTCAGTTTATCTATCATTTCTTCCGAAAATCATTTGGCATACATCGGCATTACTGATCCAATGTTCCCAACAGACTCGGGCAATCCTCTGAAGATGTCAGCGATCAAACATTGAAAGTTTTATAATGTCAGTTCCAGAAGCCGGTTTTCTAACCTATGTAACAAAATGGAACGCAGATCATGCGGGTTAACAAAATCTGTTCTGGCCCTCCTGATGCAGATGGAAATTTCATCTTTATGTAGACCACTGGGACTGAAAGCTATCCAAGTGGATAAATTAGTCTTCTACCTCATGGAGGAAGTAGAGCTGTTGTCGTGTGGAGGCTTTTCGGCAGGCGGAAGTCTCCCATCGACGGGCTGTTTTGAGCTCAAAACAGTCTTCTACCTCGTTCGATTTATCCGCAAGTATGAGGTCTAGGTTCAAGCTCACCAAACCTTGCAGAAGCTGTGTAAGCTTTACCAGTGTGGAGCGCATGCTGTGAGTCAGTTTTCCATGATTCAGTGGCGAAGTTGAAGGAAAGTGGTGAAAGAAGGTAGCCTTACCTGTAGTGAAACCAAGCGAGAGTTTTCCATAGATATTCACGCGTTCCTGGGAGTTGGGGTACAGTTCCTCGAGGAGGGTCAAAAATTTATGAGAACACCTTTGCTTCACAGATACTGGCGGCCCACACAGCCAAATGCAGTTTGCAAGTGAAGAAGGACCACCAGGTTGACTACTTGAAGCAATGTTGCTCTTGAAGATCTTTTTAAGGGTGGGAATGTGATCGGTGCGCCATTTTGCAGGTCGGAACACAAGTTGGTTTTTGCGTGTCTGCCTCTCTATGTTTGGTCAACCTTCGAGGGATAAAACGTTCGATGCTAGAGCTACCTGGCTAATGGTGGGGAGGTTTTCACTCTGTGTTCGTGTACGGTCTCTGAAAACAGGAGTGACTGTCGACATGCCCAGTTCTGCAGGCGCTTTCTCTTCACTCCACATCGTACGAATGAGCTTTGTTAGGTGGATCACCATGACTAGTCTGCCGTGTTTGAAGAAACTGGATACAGACCATCCGGTGCTGGTGCCTTTTGGCGCTTCTCCGGGGATAGTTCGCAGCTCATTTTCTTCCGAGGGACGATTTAGGTTTACATTCCACCGGGCGGTACGCGCGGTCTCAGGGGTCTGTGTTTCTTATTGTGTCGGAGATTTTGAAAAGACGGTACTGACCGCCGGCAGTATAGGTCCCCTCACATTTTGCCGTGCTTCAGTTGGATACTGCTGAGCAATGGTAGTTCCAAGGTGGTGAATTAGCATGCTTCCTGCTGACTTGCT